CGCCCGCGCGGAGGCCGGCCGGCCTTCCCAACGCCGCCGCCGCGGAGCCCGGCCTCCCAAAGCCGGCGCCTTTCCTGTCTTCTGAGCCAGATGTGTGTGTGTGAGGGGGGGGGACGACACGGGACCCAGACGCTCCGGGTTCCTGCTTCCAGGCCGGCCCGACCTCCGGTGTGAACGGGGCGGGGAGGTTTTGGCTCGGATGGGTCTCAGGCCGTCCTTCCCATGGCCTCAGCTCCTGCCGCCCCCTCTCCGGGGCCTGGGTGCTTCCCCCATAAAACCTAGCCCGGAGCTCGCGGCTGCAACTTGTCTCCATCTAGGGTTAGGGTTCCAGGGCCCCCGGCTCCTTCGGCCATACACCCACAGACTCTGTCCCTCCCTGTCACCGGACCATGGGCAAAGGCCACAGTGGTGAGGGCTGCTCGCCGCTGCCACACCCGGCACCGGGGCTGTGGATGGGAGCCCCTGTTTAGAGGCTTCCAGGGCCAGTCCGGGGCGGAGGGCGCTGGAGGGAGGGAGCCGGGAGTCCTCAGCCGGGAGTCCTCAGAAAGGCCCTTCAGGGGCGGGCTGCCCACCGCGCCTCCCGCTGTGGAGGCCGCCGAGGCCCTGTGCTGCCCCCTGGTGGCACATCACGGCGGCCCACAGGCCTCTGGAACACTCAGGAGCGCGGCCCCTCCTCACCACTCGCCGGGGGCAAGGCGGAGGACCTGAGGGCCAGGGGCAAGGCTGCCCCACCCAGGTTGACTTTCCCTCCCAGCACTACCTCTTCTCTCTTCCCGAATGGTCCACCCGGGCTTATGGTTGGAACCAGACCCAGAGAAGCTCAGGGGCTAGAGAACAACTTCAAATCATCATTTATTTATAGAAAAAGGGCAGATTTAGCAAAAGACACACTGAGAAAACAGTCGCTATGGCCCTGGAGACAAGGCAGGGAGGTGACAGGCCTTCTGAGCCCTGGATGGGGAGAAAGCCTGAGACGAGTGGTGGGGCCACCGAAAGGAAAGCTCCAATTGGATCGACATCGTTGGCAGGTCACGGGTAGGGATTCACAGCGGCCTCTCTGCTAACTCTTGCAGGGGAGGGACCAGTTTGTGCGGCCAACCAGAGTGACGGCTCCCTGGCTCCTGGAGGGTACCCACCAAGGGACACAGACAAGAAGCCCAGGATAGGAAGTGCAACTTGGGACGGAGGCCAGGGAGAAGCAGGTGTTCTGCAGTGGCCGGAAAGGTCCAGACGCTGAGGCCAAGGTGCTTCCTGTTACGTGCGGGCGTTTCTCTCTGTCTCTGCCAGGCACTCTCTGACTAGTGCCCGGGCATGGATGATGCCTGCGGTGGGGGTGAGACGGGGAAGTAACATACAGGGTCTCAGCTACCCTCCCCCACCCTCCCCACCTTTTCTTGGTCAGCAAGATCAGACCAGAAGTTCTCAAATTCATACTGCTGAAATATTAGAAGCACCTCTCTTGCCACTTTTGGTCTAGACTAGCTCTGGTGTCCTGCACTGACTTCAGATTCCATTCCTTCTCTAGGAAGAACCACAGTCCCGTGTCTGTCCCCACAGAGGAGGGTGGGCCTGGCCTCACTTACCTCTCTTCAGGCGCTCCATGGCACTCTTGCTACCAGCATAGGTGGGCCGGATCTCTTTACCCATCTCTTCTATGACAGACAGCAGGTCTGTGTAGGTGCTCTGGGAGCCCTGGGCACCAGGTGGCTTCATCGCCTAAGAGTGTAGAGATGTGAACTCAGGCCCCCAGGGACCTTCTGTTCTCATCCAAAGGCAAGCCACTGGCCAAACTCACCTGCACATAGCCCATGGAGGGCGGTCCAAAGTCGTTAAACAGGGGTCTGAAAGGGGCAGCGGCTCCTGGCACTGAGCCCGAAGGCGACGGGACACTACCGGCTGCAACAGGTGTAGAGTGTAAGAGGTTAGCGCGCGCAAGGACGCCTCCCCACTTGCCAGCCGACTAGGATCGCCCCATCTCCCTCCTTCCACGCCGATAAAACTTCAGAAGCACGCTCCTCCCCCTGCGCTCCACCCACGGGCCCTACGTGACCACGCCCACTTCACAGGTCAGAAAACTGAGGCTGAGCAGAGGAGGAGTCAGGCCTGGTATTGCAGAACTCTGGCTGTGTTCTCTTCAAGACCAAGACCACCAGGACACGCGAGCGGGGGGTGGAGTTCAATCCTCACCTGTAGGGACCGGGGTGCCTGGCCCAGGGGTGCTGGAGCCAGGGGTGCTGCTGGGGGCGGGTGCGATGGGTTTGTAGGACATCCCCAACTCCTAAGTGCGGCGGACGCCTGCCGGCCGCTCCTCCGGGGTTGGCTGCCGGGCAGCTCAGCCGCACTGTGATTGGCAAGCGGGCTGCACGCCCCTGGTAAATAGAGCTCCGGCCGGAAGGGCGGACGGCTACCAACGCTCCTCACTCCCGATTGGCGGGCACAGCTGTCATTCCAGCCTCCTTATTGGCCAAGGCCTGCCCTCACAGGCCGCAATCGCTGCTGATTGGCTTACGCCTTCCGGACCTCGCACCTGTCTCCTCACGATTGGGCAGTGGCCACCGCCCTCCGCAATTGGCGAGTTCGCGGCCCGGGCCCGCGCGCTCTCAATCCGATTAGTCCCAAGGTCCGAGAGGCGGGGCCTCAAGAGCTCCGACCAAGGTCCGGCGACCGCCGGGGTTCGCACCGCGGAAGCCGTCCCGGGCCTGGGTGCCGCCTCCGTCCCACCGCCGTCCCACCTCCGTCCCGCCGCCTCGCGCGTCCGCGCGGTCCAGTCTTGCTCCGCCTCGGGTCGCCCTTGCCGCCGGACGCGCCTCACCTCCTCTCCCGGTGCCGGTGGACGCGGAGCTTTGACGTGCCGAACCCTCTTGCCCCACCCCGAGCGCTTCTACGTCACCTTTCACCGGTTCAACACCCTCTCCGCGCTCTGCGCATGCGCCCGCCTCGGGCCTTCATTCGTTCCCATGGCAACGGGTCCTCCTCAACGCCACCACCCGCGGGTCTGCGTCGGGATTGGCTGTCCTCAGGTCTACGCTGACGTGCGGTACCGGGGTGGTCTCCGAGAGCCCCTCAGCCTGCACCCGGAGTCCCAGGCCTCCGCCCCAGATAACGACGGCGGGGTCGGTTAACCTTCGTGGCTTCCTATTACGTGCTGGACCCTGAATCGTGAACGAGCGCGTCGCCGGGAGCCTACTAGCCGGTCCGAAGCCGAGCACCTCTCCTCCCCCCTGCCCCCCCCCCAGGTGGCTGTCCGCGCTAGGCCTCAGTTTTCCCATCTGAAAAATGGAGAATGGTTGTTTAGCTGAAGTGAATATACATAATGGCTTGAGCCATTCATCTCTTCCAATGCTCAAACCTAGACCCGACCCTCTCCAACACGCGCTTTCTCCCAGGCTCCTTCCTCAAGCCTCTCTGGCTTTGTGAATCCTTCATGCTCCGGTTCTACGGTTTCCGGGCCATTCATCTATCCAGCAAACATATTCTCATTTCTTCTTCCTCTATTCTACATCTTGTGCCGAATGAAATGAGCTGGCCACGAGTGCCGATCTCTGCAAATGCCTGGCATTGGGGCACAAAGGTGAGCCGAGGCACTGCATTAAGACTGCAGACTGTGGATAAGCGGACATTGTGCATTGGAATTCAGGAAAAGGAGACTGCTCGGTGACATCACAGAGATCTCAGGAGCTGGCATTTGAGGTGGAGGTAGGAGCAGAATGGGGGTGGCACCCCAAGAGGAGGGACTGGCATAAGCAAAGCCTGGCATGTGAGGGCCCAGGTCATTGGGAATCAGTCCCTTTTTCCCCTGGAGAGTTCACTTGAAAGTGGGTGGGGTAGTAGTGACCCCAGCCTGTAAGCAAAGTGTAAGCAAGCTGTCATGGTGATGTCAACATTGTTTTCTAAACAGCCGTTCCTGAAACTCACTCATGGGTGTCACCATCCAATTAATGTTGCCTTTAAATGAACTTGCAGCTATTTCTGTGCTGTGTTTTGAACTCAGAACCTCACACTTGCTAGGTAGGTGCTCTACCAGTTTCACCATAGCTACACCCCCCCCTCTTTTTTGCCAGTCCTGGGACTTGAACTCAAGGCCTGGGCACTATCCCTGAGCTGCTTTTACTCAAGGCTAGCACTCTACCACTTGAGCCACAGCTTTTTCTACTTATGTAGTACCGAGGAATTGAACCTAGAGCTTCATTCATGCTGTGCAGGTACTCTACTACTAAACTACATTCCCAGCTCTTTTTCTCTAGTTATTTTCTAGGAAGTCTCTTGTGTTTTTGCCTGAGCCTCTAAGTCATATTCAAACTGTGCTACTGTTAGAAAAAAGTGCTTATCTAGCCACCCAAGATCTCCCACTCCCTACCAAGGGAACCAAGCTAAGCTTTGGAGAAGGGCTGTGGATAGAGGGGAACAAGAGCCACTGACTAGTACTCCACTGCTGCTTTGGGAAACCGAAACCCCACACTTTTCAAGCCTTAGGCATTCCCACTTTCTTCATTGCCAGCTTTTTAGTCTATCTGGGCTAATATAGACAACACAAAATACCAGGCTGAGTGGCTTAAACAATCAAAGATTGTTTCCCTGGGTGCTGGGTGTCAGCTTGCTTGGTTTCTAGTGGGAGCAGCTTCTTGTCATCAGATGGCCTTTCTGGTACAGGAAGGAAGAGGGCACGTACAGCTGGGGTCTCCTTATAAGGACATTGCTATCAGGGTCACACTGTGTGACCTGACTTAACCCGAATGACTTCCCCAGAGGCCGCACTGGGAACCCAGGCTTCAGTTGATCAATTTAGGGAGTGACACA